AATCTTGCATGCTATAAGAATATGTACTGTTGTTTCATTAAATATTTACTTTTACTATAAAAATATTTATTGCTTATTGTTTCAATGAATGGCTAAAGGAAAACTTAAGTTTCCCACCGTAAAAATACTTATTCCCTCCAATTATTTTAATAAAAACGTAAGTTTCCCACCATAAAATTAAAACCAATGATGAGGTTGAACCAATAATAAAAGGAGTAGTATATATAATATGGTTTCATATTATAAGTTCAAAATATTTACATCTCATCAAATATGGCTTTAGAGGAGGTTGAAGCAACTAATGACATTGATGAGTCCTATGAAGATAATTTACAAGAGGAGGTTGAAGGAAACAATGACATTGGTATATTTTTTATTTCATGTGTGTTTGTTTTTTATGTGGTGGTTTCTATACTTAAATTCACAGTGATATTTCATGTGTGTTTATTTTTTATGTGGTTGTTTCTAGTAATTTTGTTATTTTTTTTAAAAAAATTATAGTGTATGTTGCAGAAAATTTTGAAGCAAAATCTAGAGAAAGAAAGAAATTAAGAGTCTTAAGCAATGAAGAACGCATGTCTATTTATCATGAGCTACTACAAAAAAGCGTTGATGGACAATTACGTAAAGGAGCTACAAATGAGGTGGCTTCATCAAATTCGGTTCCTATAAGAACTGTTCAACGTATTTGAAAAAGAGCAAAAGAAAGTGAAACGCGTGATGTCTCTCATAGGAAGATAAAAAATTGTGGACGTAAGAGAATTTCAATTGATGAGAATCAAATTCGTGAACTTCCTTTCAGTCAAAGAACAAACATTCGATCTTTAGCTTTTGGGTTGAAAACCAATCCAACATCGGTGTTCAGGCTTATAAAATCAGGGCTTATACGGCGTAATTCAAATGCCATAAAACCATTATTGAAAGAAGAAAACAAAATATCTAGGCTGGAATTTTGTTTATCAATGCTTGAAGGTACACCACATGATCCAATGTTTAAAAGCATGCACAATATTATTCATATTGATGAAAAATGGTTTTATATGACTAAAAAATCCGAGAAGTATTATTTGCTCCCAGATGAAGATGAGCCATATCGAACATGTAAGAGCAAAAATTTCATTGCCAAAGTTATGTTCTTAGTTGCTCAAACTCGGCCACGATTTGACGCAGGAGAAAATGAAACTTTTTCGGGTAAAATTGGTGTTTTCCCGTTTGTTACCCATGAACCGGCTCAAAGGTCAAGTATTAACAGAGTTACAGGAACAATGGTAACAAAAGCAATAACTTTGGTTAAGAGAGATGTGGTAAGATCATTCCTTATTGATAAAGTCCTACCGGCTATAAGAGAAAAATGGCCAAGAGATGACTTGAAGTCAACAATATTTATTCAGCAGGATAACACAAGGACACATATAAACCATAATGATCCTTTGTTCTGTGAGGCTGCTACCAAGGATGGGTTTGATATTCGTTTAATGTGTCAGCCTGCAAACTCTCCAGATTTAAATATCTTAGATCTTGGGTTTTTCTCGGCTATACAATCATTGCAATACAAGGAAGCACCAAAAACTATTGATCAACTTATCGATGCAGTGGTGAAGTCATTTGAAAATTTTCCTTCAATTATGTCCAATCGTATATTTGTATCATTGCAATTATGCATGGTAGAGATCATGAAAGTGACAGGTTCCAATAAATATAAAATTCCTCATATAAATAAGGAAAGGCTAGAAAGAATAGGACAACTACCAATTCAAATTAAGTGTGATCCAATATTAATACAAGAAGTCAAGAATTACTTAAACATGGAGTAACACTTATTGTAAGTGGGATGTAGTCACATTTGAGATTTTCAAATAGAGTTTTTTTTTAAGTTTATGGATTGTACTCCTAAAATTTAGTTTATGGAGTAACAAATTTAGTTACAGTAACTTTTGCCATAAATATAGTTTATGGATGTAGTCACTTTTATCATATGTATTGTGCGTGAGAATTAAGTTTATATTTTCCTAAACTTTTGCCATAAAAAGTTACAATAACTTCCTAAACTTTAGCAAATCTCCTGCACGTAACTTCCTAAACTTTTGCCATGATTTTTTTTAATGTATCAATAAAAAAACAATAAGAATGAACTTAAGAAATGCATTCCTAAATTGTAGCAATAACAAGGAATTCTTCTCCATACTTATTTTATAAAAAAAATACCAATAATAAGGACTTCTTAAATAACAACTCCTACAACTTATGCACTTAAGCCAAATCTAAAATGAGATACTCCATACTTAGTCCACAAATATTTTTCAGTAAAATTTTGGAAGAAGTTTTTTTATCATCTTTTTTATCACAGGTCGAAACTCAGTATGGTGGGAAGATTCTTCTCCGTTTTTTTCTCCTTCTTCTTCTTCGTCTTCTTCAGGAAATTTGTTCAAATCAAATTCATAATCTGTCTCTTCATTTAAATCAAAATCCAGTACAACTCTTGATAATACTTCTTCTTCTTCGTTGTCATCTTGTTCTTGAATCTTGTCAAAAGAGTCTTCCACGATTTCCCCTTCTTCTTGCTCCAATGACTCTTCCACTCTTTCTTCTTTTTGAAGATCCATGGAGTCTTTTGTTGTTCCACCACAGCTCTTTTGTTTTGTACGGGATAATTTAAACAATGGTACTAATCCTTTTTATAGAATTATTAGTCTTCAATTGAAAAATTTGTTCCTTTGACAAAATTTAATGCTAAACATTTTTCTATGTAATATTGGAATATAATTTGAAGTGAGTGTGAAGTGAGTTATTACATATAGTAAATTTTCATGGGAATAGGAATACGTATTAAGAAAGAGAATTTTATGGAAAATGTGAAGTGAGTTATTACATATATTAAGAAAGGAAAATTTTATAAAATATAAAGTGGACTTATTTAAAAAGTAAGGGTATAATTGGTAAATTGTAACCTTAAAACATCAAAACGACACTTAAATAGGAACAAAAAAAACTTCTAAAACGACACTTAAAAAGAAACGGAGGGAGTAATAATAATAATAATAGTAGTAATAACAACAACAACAACAACAACAACAACAACAACAACACCACCACCACCACCACCAACAACAACAACAACAACAACAACAACAACAACAACAACAACAACAACAACAATAACAACAACAACAACAACATGATGGAGGCTCTCATTTCTAGGGGAATAGAAAAGCCTCCCCTACTAAAGGAGTACGATGTTGCAGATCCTGTCGACCAAATCGACGGGTTTGAAGTAATGCTATATTACCACAACACGGGGGCCAATTAAATCTCTGCTGTTCCCCACGACTTTAAGAAAAATAGCTATGGACTGGTACAAAAACCACTCCCCCGGATCGATCACCTCCTACTAGAGCCTCAAGAACCAGTTCATCAACTCCTTCACCGCGTCTCGCCGACATCCAAAGACAGAGGTCTCCCTTGAGACAATCGTCCAGAAAAGCGACGAGACCCTGAGGAAATACATTGATCAGTTCAACCGTAAGGTCATTCAGATCACGTGCGTCGATCACATGAAAAGGTACCTGCTCGAAAGAAGACTCCTTCCAGAAATTGAATTCAGCAAGGCTGTCGGCATTGAGCCCTCCAGGTCTTTTGACACTCTCCTCGAAAAAGCCAGGACATACATGGACTACGAGGAGAAAGATACGACCAATAAAACCCGTGAGTCGAAGGAATGTGATTATTAAGGCAACAAACGAGGTCACTTCACCATCCATCTAGGAGAATTGGAAACCTCCCAAATCATCTTCCACTCCTTCCTTCAACGGTATTCTCTGGCCTTCTGTAGGTTCCCTTCCACCTTCCCTTTTTCTTTCTTCTCTTTTTCTATTACTATTATTCTTTTCTATCAATTTAGTTACCATATATACCATGCAACAATCGTTTAAAATATTTCACATACATTTGTTTATGGATTAATTGAGATATATACACACATTGTATGTGCATAGAAGTTTTATTGATATGCTCTTGACATATTTTTCAAATTTCTAACGTTTTATTTTCTCAGCTATGGTTGAATGAAGAATTTAAATGTTTTCTTCTGTGTGATTTTAAAAATTCACCAGGGGAATTTGTAACAGTGGCCATATTGGGAAAACTGGATCAACTATTGACACCAAAAGGACTTTCAAGTTTCAATCACAATTGCACCATTAGGAGTAGTTTCTGCATTCTTATTTGCTACACCCTTGGCCCCTTCTGCACGGATACGTCTATTACTACTATCTCCTTTCGGGTTTAATTCATATATACTGTCAAGAAACTGATGCGGCCTTTGATGATTATGAAGAGTGAAGCCTCCATACTAAATCAAAAGCTTCAATTCCCTTATTCATATTAAATCTGGGTCTATCTTTTCTGATTCATGTTTTTCCTTTTAATCACTAGTGTTTATGTTGATGACACATCAAGTGTTCCCAAGAAACTCTGAACCAGATGTTGTAGAAATTGGTTCTAGTTCATGAGCTGAATATATCATCATCATGTTAACATAATGATGACTTTGAAGGCTTGGGTGCTCCTAGTTCTTTGATAGTTAACCTGAGTTGACAGAGGAAGTACTGACTAACAATAACGGTGTTGTTAGTGCTGCTAGAGGATTAGCTGAAAGGGCTGCAAGATTTATTGTAAGTTTTGCTTCGATGAAACTAAACTCGCACTTGTCGAAACTGAACTATTACTACTTTAGCCTACTGTCAGTCCTACTAGATAAGCATATATAAATCTATGAGGGTTGTTTTTCAAGTGAAGAATTATAAGCTTGTTTTAAATGAGAAATTCTCAATTTATTAGAAGCTATTCGAAACTGGGTCCTTTAAATGTCGTGGTTTATAGCTAATGTGCTTCTTTGCTTACATTGCTTATGTATCAAATATGTTATCTATTATCAATATTTTCGATTTTACACGATCCTACCAAAGTCCGATTTATAAGCTATTGAGTTTAGCTGGAGGTTTGACTCAAGTGTCCAACTATAAGCTGCCAATCAAACTATAATCTAATTCCATCCAGCTATCAAACCATCCTAAATCAGGGCAGTCAAGTGCAGAAATAGCGATTTCTTAAAATTCTATTAAGTAGTATATTAATATTGATATAACACTCTTATAGCCTCTATTAGACAACACTTTGTATCAAATAACTTATGCTAGAAAAAAGTGATTTGTTTAAATTCCGCAACAGATTGCAGGAAGCTATTTATTATAGTTTATACCATAAATCTAGCAAAGAACATGCTCAACGATAAACTTTACTTCTCTCGTGATAGTATTTTTAGTGAACTAAGAAAATGCCCACCTATAAACTTTACTTCTCTCATGACAGTATTTTTAGCGAACTAAGAACATGCCCAACTATACACTTTACTTCTTTCATGACAGTATTCTTAGTGAACTAAGAACATGCCTAACTATACACTTTACTTCTCTCATGACAGTATTTTTAGTGATATAAGAACATTTCCAACTATACACTTTACTTCTCTCATTACAGTATTTTTAGTGAACTAAGAACATGCCCAACTATACACTTTACTTCTCTCATGACAGTATTTTTAGTGAACTAAGAACATACCCAAATATACACTTTACTTCTCTCATGACAGTATTTTTAGTGAACTTAGAACATGCCCAACTATATACTTTACTTC